TGACATAAAAGCCATCAAACTGTCTTTCAGGATCACTTCTTTCAGGATAGATTTGTTTCTTCTGAGAGGCCTTTATTAACAAGAATCTCCTTCTTTCCTGTCCACCATAGCATTTCTGAAATTATTTGAGAGAATGAAGTCATGGCATGCTTTCTTATAGCAGCTACTCCTGGGCCATGCTTTATCCATGCTGCTGGGAGAAGCTTCTCTCGTAATGCAGACCCATCCTTGCTTTTGCTTAAGTCAGAAAAATCCTGTTGAGTTGAACGGGTCTATAAATGCCATCGAAAACATTTCTGCTGGTTCACAACCTCATGCTGTGACAGAAGCCTCGCAAACACTGCCCTGGGAAGAGCAAGTCATGTCTCACAGCCACAGCCTGAGACTTTCCACAGTCCTGTGACTTTCCACAGTCCTGCTTTTAAACAGCTTCAGCATGTGGATATATTTGTAGACAGATAAAATAGTGATCTTTACACAGGAACTAACTTTCAGTATGGATCCCCGTACTAAGTGTTAGCAATGGTTGTCCTAAAGAAGTTAAAAGTCACTTTGAATACAGAGTTCTGTAATCAGTTGTGCAGGTATCTCAAAAGTCAGAAAATAATCTAAAATTATCACAAGTAGGTGAAAACAATCAGTTTTGTTATCAGGTCATAGGGTAGGGTGTTAATGGTAACTCTCAATCCTTGACATACTCAGAGTAGTAGATGCTCTTGGCTGTTCCCCATGAAGCTCTCTCCTCATGAAGCTCTCACTTTACTTCACAAAGAATATATATTTATTTATTTTTCCACCTGGTAGCAGGATTTTCAATACCCCACAGTACTAAATATTATGTTCTGGTGATGCTAATTTCCCTTTGTGGAGCAGATTTCCAGCTTAACGTCAAGTATAAACTAATAAGCACAGGAAAACCTTTCCTGGCTGGCCAAAGAACACTGCAGCAGCTTGTCCATATGATCCTTCTTGTTTCTGTGCCTGAGGAAATACATCTTCTTGACAGGCATACTCAAGAGAAGATCTATAGTTCCACTTTCAGCCACATATCTGTGGAACATTTAGAATCACAGAATTGTTTCAGTTGGACTGGACCTACAAAGGTCATCTAATCCAACCTCCCTGCAGTGAGCAGGGGCATCTTTAACAAGATCAGGTTGCTCAGAGCTCCATCCAACCTCACCTTGAATGTTTCCAGGAACGGGGAAGCCCCAGCTTCTCTAGGCAGCCTGTTCCAGTGTTTCATTACCCTCATCATAAAAAATTTCTTCCTTATATCTAGTCTGAATCTCCCCTCTGTTAGTTTAAAACCATTACCCCTTGTCCTGTCATAACAGACCTTACTGAAAAACCTGTCTCCATCCTTCTTATAAGCCCCCTTTAAGTATTGAAAAGCTGCAATAAGGCCTCCCCAAACCTTCCTCTGCTCTAGGCTGGACAAGCCCAACTCTCTCAGCCTTCCCTCATAGATGAGGTGCTCCAGCCCTGTGATCATTTTTGTGGCCCTCCTCTGGACCCACTCCAACAGGTCCACGCCTTTCCTGTGCTGAGGACTCCAGAGCTGCATGCTCTATTCCAGGTGGAGTTTCACGAGAGTGGAGTAGAGGGGCAGGGTCACCTCCTCCTTTGGATGCAACCCAGCACACAGTTGCCTTTCTGGGCTGCACCCACATGTTGCTTGTTCAGGTCCAGCTTTTTATTCACCAGTACTCCCAAGTCTTTCTTGGCAGGGCTGTTGTCTATCCCTTCATCCCCCAGCTTGTCTTGATGCAGGAGCAGGAAGCTGCACTTGGCCTTGCTGAAGCTGATGAGGTTCACATAGACCCACTTTCTTGAGGGTGAGAACACACACAAACTTAAACTATATATGCATTCATACAAGGCAAGGAGAGCCTTTAGTTTGTGCCAGCAACATGGAAAGCTCAGCCTGAACATCAGTTCAGGCAGGGCTGGGTGGGCAGTGATCAGGGAACTTGATTTCCTTTAAAAAAAGGGACTTCCTGGAAACTGAACTTAGTGAGATTCTACAGATTTGGCAAAGCATTGTCCCAGAGGACAATACAATGGAAAGAATTCTCATAACACTATAACATGCAATTTTTTCATAATAGACCTAAATTCTCATGAAATGTGGGCTAGGTGTTTTATTTAGCAATTCCCAGTTGTAGAGTGGAATACAGACTGTTTAAATTGACTCTGTTTCAGTTATTTTTCTGTTTAATAATCTTATTTTGTAAGTCTGAAAACCTGCAGCCAATCAGACTTTCCATTCTCTGCCCCACTTCTACTCAGATGCTTTGTGTAATGTTTTTCTAAGCTACCAGCTTTCCTTATGTTGATTGGTGAAAATAAGAATTTATAGAAATCACCCTTGTCATAGCTGGTAGAAATCATGGTGCATAAGGTGCTTAAAAGCCTTTAAGAAATCTTACTTCAAGTCTCTATGATGTAATGTGGGGGTACCTGTAGAAAAGATTAATGAACACAAGCTGAATAGTTAGAAAAAAACATAATCAGGCTGTTTCTGAAGTTTATTGGGGTGGAAGGAGCCATGAACAAAAAGCAGGCATTTGACTGGAGAATGCTTGCGGCAAGCAGACTTTCTCTAGTCCCTTTGTGAAGCTGTTTGTCTGGAGATACACTGTGTGGTACGGTGGAAAGCCATGGCAAAAGGAGGCATATACTGAGAACACCTCCGCTCCTCTGGATGCACTGTGCAAATGCACAGCACTTCTGTGGTGGGGCTGTCATACAGCAATAAATCAAAACAGAAGCATATTCCTGCATATACTGCCATCTCCTCAGGAGCATGCTTGGAAAGAGAATATGGAGCTGCAGTATGGTCATGAACTAATGTCCTTTTGACTTGCTGGTGGCACTCTTGGGAGTCAGCAGGAAGGTGAATGGCAGGTAAGCTGATTTCCCCAGATGGTACCAGTGTGCCACGCACAGTTTGGGTCATGATTTTTAGGGCTTTTTCAAAAACGTGAGGGAAGAGAGAAAAAAACATTAAAGTTTTCTTCCACTCTGAAAACATCCATACCCTCTTGTCAGCAAGAGGCAGTCCATAAGGCAGAGGGGAACGGCAGATTCAGGATCTTGAAAGGACTCTGAACTACACGGGAAGACTAAGGTTAGTTCTCATCACAGGACAGAAGAGTGCACTGCAGACTATATCAACTGCAAGGGCAGTCCCAGTGAAGTTTCTGACCCAGTATGCAGGAGCAAAGTTAGATAGCTTTTTTTAGTGTGACAGTGACCAAGTACTGGCATCGATTGCCTAAAGAGGTTGTGGAGTGTCCGTCACTGAAGATACTCAAAGGATGTCTAGGCAGGCAGCCTGCTCTAGGTGGACCTGCTTGAGCAGCAGAAGGTTAGACCAAATGACCTCCAGGTGCCCCTTCCAGCCTCAGCTACTCTGTAATTTGTTGTTCAGACAGATTATTACTGCTATTACTGCACCACTTGCTGCTTCTCTGTAAATAGCACAGCTACCTTCTTCCAGCCTCTATGCTGTCTGCACGCATCCGAAGTCCCCTCTAAGGTAGGGACGATCCCTGGGTCGGTAAGGTTGCTGTTAACTCATGACCCCAGAGGCAGCTTATAGCTAACATCATTCCACTGCTTTTGATCTAACAGTCTCCTTACTCATGGGGAAAGGAGATTGTATTTTCATTTACTTTCAATGTGTATCTGTACAGAGCCAAAAGAAAAAAAAAATTATACTATGTAGAGCTGCTAAAGAAGTGTGATTATAGCATCTCAAATACATTTCATATAAAGCAGCTGAGGAAAAATAGATATCATTTTTTTTGCCATATATTCCTCCTCCTGTTGCAGACTAAATACTCATAACTGCATCTCTCTCCCATGTATACTATAAACAGCAGTATCAGCTTTGCAACACACCCCCTGGTTACATCAAAAAGCATTTTTGTATGTTTGCCACTTTAAAAAGGCTTTCAGGGCACAGTGTGACTTTGTCCTGCAGCTCCAGTTGTGGCAAACAGAAGTGGCTCACACAGGACAGCCAGGTTTAGCTGCTCATTCTCATCACCATCATTGCTATAAACTAGAAGCAAGAATAGCCTGAGCTAGCTCCCACAGATCATATGAGACAGTTATTCACCCTTTAGTATAAGGCTCCCGTTTTAACTGCAAGATCATTACAGACACTCCAGCAGTTTTATGACCTTTGGTTCCACTTCTAGCTTTATACCATTTCAGCAACAGGGATTGTTGGCTTTATGGCCAAGTTCAACTTGATAGATGGAAAAAAGTCTGAGCACTTGAAACGCATTTTAATACTGCACAACGACCATGCACAGGCGTTCAAGTCAGCCTGGTGGTGCCAAATGTAGGAATATGTTGACACACAACAGCTGGGCAGTTTAAGCACTGCTAGGAAATACTTCATCTTAGCAAGGGACCAGAGCATGTACCAAGCATCGCTCTGGCAGTGTTTCATGAGAAAGATTCCCCTGAGATGTGAGGAAACACTGAGCATCGTAGGCCATCACACTGGTAGCTGGAGTTGAACCTTGAGGTTGAACGCCATCAACATTCCCTTAGGTCCTTTCTCTTCCTCCCTTTCCATTGACTGCAAACTGCCATTCAGCTTTTTTAACTTGTCATCCCATCAGATGCATCTAGAACAGCTCCAGAAACTGCCACAACAAAAGCAGTCTCAAACACCCAGGCAATAGGCATCTGGAAAATGTATACCAGCATCCCTGATTTCCATTGTACACCTCTAGATTTGCAACACTAATTCACCCCTCACAGAGATCTATAAAGCTGAGCCTCTTGGGGATAGGGTAGAGGCAAGTGTTTCTTTCCAGTGTAGGAAAGTAAAGCATAAAAGTAGCGTGGGGGCCAGCAGAAAGATTAACAAATTGCACTTTCCCAGCTTTCTGTGCTAATAGGTGCTGGGGAGTGGGATAGCTAAAGACATCACTGTTCAGCTAATGCACTTTCAAAAGGCTGTATCACATACTTACAGTTTTTATTCTTCCCAGATACAGGTTGTTTCTCTGAAGACAGCATGGCTCAATTCAGCCCTGGTGTAATTACAGGGGCTTCAGTGAGGTTGTAACCTGCTTGCAACCAGGCTAAAATTGTTCCTTTGTTCCATGTTTCCTTTTCCTGACCAGCAGTAGCTCCATTGTCATGGCTTTTAACTCGTCTACTAAACCAGCAAAGCACTTTTGTTGTCCATTTGCAAGGGTGACCTTCCTTTTTCCTTGGCACAAGTCTCCAGATGGAAGTGTAATCTTTCACAGCTGAGTGACTTTCAATACACAGGAAAAGGCAGAGTGAAAACCTTAGCACTGCTATTAAAGCTGCTCTCTATAAACAATTACTTGTCTTAATAGGGATTAATATAAGAACTAATCCAGCATTGAGAGAAAGCAAAACCACTGCAAAGCCTGTCTTGCAGCTCTAATTTCCTTCTCCAAATAGAGCTGTGGAGCTACTAATCAGGTCAGACACTCTTCACCTGGTTATCAATAGAGTGAGAGTGCAGAAAAAAGCTGTTAGTATTCATAGGAAGAAAAGCTGTTTGCTTGTTTTAATTATGACTGCAAAGAGGTGCTGACACACAGGAAACATGCTATAAGGGTTAGCAATAGAAAGTTCACAGAAGACGTCAAATAAAGGAAAAAAATGACTAGTGTTTGCAGAACAGTAGAACAAATCAGAATAAACTAGATAGTAACGTTTATTCAGTGAATTTTAATGCACAGACAGCTCATTAGGAACCGAAACAATACAGAACCAACTACTCAGAGATGCATTGGCATAATCAACTAGATTAAATGAAACCTTGTGAACCACTAATAAGATTACATTTCAGTGAGCTAATCAACGCAATATTGTGATTACATGGAGTTAAAATAGATTATTAGAATAGAAAAAAGGCCAGTCATTTAGTTGGAATTAATAGTGTGTCTTTTCTCATTTTTATGTTTCTTAAAATGCAAGCTTAGTGGTAATAGCTTTACAAAATCTTTTCTTTGTTATGTTCTGTTTATTTGCCATTCATCAGGACAGCTTTGTTCAGCCAAGCGGAGGGATTAGTAGAAATCTCATGCTTTGCCCTAATGTGTGAAAAAGTGACAACTGCTGGAGAGATCCGTGTCTCATTTTGCTGAGGGGAAGCAGTCATACAGAGATGGGAATAACTGAGCAGTTCAGTCAAAGCCTTCTTTACATGCTGAGTTTTGGACCTTGCAATGCATCCAGCTCGATGTTCTGATGACAGTGCTGGCCTGCTCTGTTTCAGAGTCCCCTCTGTTTCACCTGCCTTGAAAGATGCTGCTTACCAGGCAGCTTCTTCATGGAGTGCAAAAAATAGCTCTGAGCTTCTTAAGTAAGCTTAAGATTTGCAGTTTAGCTTCCCTGAAGAACATGCATGTGGCCAGTCATGGCATTGCTACTGCAGAGGCCAGTCATACCCACCATCTACTACAGGAGCACCCAAGTATGCTGAGCACCTGGAATAGGCAAACACAGTCCATATGATGCAGTATCCAACACTTAGCAATAATTGTTAGGTTTTGTGATAAAAGCTCATGTGTGCAACCATAAAGGCTCACAGAAATCATCCCCAAACCTGCTCCTTGCTACCTCCCCCAGCCAGCTGTTTCCTGACTGTCCACTGTTACATACCCTTTGAGCAGGTTTATCCCCGCTTTATAGTTTTTATATTAAATCTTGTCTCCCTCGGTTAAAAAGTAATTTTTTCTGGTGGCACAAAATCAAATACTGTGATTAAGCGTAAGTAGATGAAAACTATTCTACTTTCTTGTCTACCAATCATACATCTCCTGGGTCTAGAGGTTAGTTTGCTTTGCTCTGCCGTCTACCACTGCATGATGTTTGTATTTTTCTCTGTCAGGTTTCAGAAGTTTGTGCATTCCGAGGTCAGGTGGCAGGATGTAATGTTTGCACAACTCACATTGTAATATTTCTCAAATAAAAAAGTTATTCATTTGTTATTTGATGCTCATGGTATTTATGGCACCTCGATTTGGTGTTGATTTAAAATAAAAAATGAAATCTTTGACACCTTGATCCAGAGCTTTGGGATGGAGAATATCCTGTTTCCCTGGTCTTTTTGAACCTTTTGGACCTGTTTCCCTGCATATTTTTTAACCTTTAGGACTATCTTCTTTATCTAGTTTCAATGCTCAATGATTTACTTCTGTATGCCAAAGTAGCTTCTGCTGCAACCTTCACTGAAAACTGATGCAAACTGTTCTGAACTTAATCCCTTTTTCTCTACATAAATGTCACATTTCTCCTTCTCTTTTTTCCCCCACAAGATTTTGCTTTAATTTCCTTTGAATTGTCAATATCTACCTCAGCAGCAGCAATTTTTACTTTATCATTATTCTATAATCTCATAATATCCTTTTTAATATCCCCCTACTGCAAGCTTCATTATCCTTTTTACTAAAATAAATAGCTATTAGAATATTATTACTAAATTTTAATATATAAAGGGAATAAACAGGCAAATACAATTGAAATAAAATGTGAATGTTATTTTCAAGCATATCAGTGTGAAATGCTTGCTGGCATTAGCCTGTTTTTCTCCATATTGCCAATCTCCTTCCAGCCAAGAACTCAAGTTAGGAATCCTCTCCTTGTCTACAGATGGTCAAAGCTTTTGTAATTGTTCCTCAAAGCAGAATGCTTGGTGTGGCTTTCTTTGCTCTGCCTGACATACATTTAACTGGATTTCCTGGAAAATTACAGAAACTCAATATATACTGTGAACAAAATACACACTTTTCCATCTGTACTCAGTGAGCAGCCTCATGGTGGAATAAAACACTGGCTGGGAGAGGCATATTCACATAATTTGGTTGTTCTCTAGTGAACTCTGCATATAACTGCAGAAGAAAACAGCACATTTACAGAAAATAATGGTATTAAATTGATGCTGTCTGAAGAGCTACAAAAGATCCAGCAGAGAATGGCTAAGCCATTGAAATGCAATTTTTCTTCCCTTTCATCAGTTCAAAATGTAAATTGCACTTTGTTAGTTTTACATTTGTGACATACCTTTTGCCTGAGAATATAAATTAAGAGGTAGTTAACTTCTGTGTTAAAACCAGAAATTTAAGTCTTTTAGTTGAATTGATCTATTTACATGATATATTTACATACAAAGCTGAGATAATTTACTTATTTTCTACTTGCTCAAGCATTTCAGGTATTTTCAGTCTCTGTCTAAAGATTATTTAGAGACTTTTTTTTTTTGTGTAAGCTTTTCCCCAGCCTTTTATTTTAAGGTTAGAAGAGCTTTTGTAACCTTTATTGCTTAATCAAAACACATTAAAAAAGGAAAATGCCTAGGATTTCCTGCATTCTCTCTTGCTATTCAATCAAAGATTAACACCCTAAGTAAATCTCTCCTGTTGATCAAACTGCAACATAAAGGGCACAGCTTGAGTACAAGACCATATCAGCAACTGCAGAAGTATGATATGGAGAAAACCAAGGAAGATTTGAGTCTGTATCCCAGTCTGACTGTTTTTGAGTCATACAGAGTTTTGCGACTTAGCATTGTTGGACCCAGTAACCCAAATGCACAAGTTCATGTACTTAGGCAAAATGATACCTGCAGAAAAAATGAGAGACCTTGCTGTAGTCTGTTACAGTATGAATATGAAGAGGGCAACAAGCATTAAATGAGCTTGCTATTTTGTTTCTTGCTTCTGAGTAATGGAAAACGCTCAGAAAAGCACTTCTGTTTTATTATAGATGAAAAATGGATCAGATATTGTATCAGAATTAGAAGGTTTACCAGAATTTGTCAGCTGCACTTTGCCTCATACTACGATGTCCCTGGCTACAGATATTTTTGTTTCCTTTTCTCCTGTGCTGTTACATATTTTGAAGCAACTCTTTCCACTTCTCCCTCTGCACAGATTTTCTTTCATCTATTTTCCCCATAGCTTTGTTTATTGCTTTACACACCTGCAGGCAACCTATAAAAAAAAAAAAAAACAAACAAAAAACCAACCCCAAACCAAACAACAAACCCAAAACATGGAAAGAACCTGTCTTATTTACCTAACAAAATGAAAACTAGAAAAGGTTGGAATTTTCTTCAGGAACATTGCAGAATGGTAACTGGCAAATGGAGAATGCTGTTTAAACTACAGGACTGTATTGGCAGTGAACCAAACAGGTAACAATCAGTTAAAAAATGCATTTTGCCTGGATATTTTGAGGGTTCAGTGCTGAGACTGAGCTTCAAGAATAGTTTTCTAACAGGAGCACGAAGATAACTCACCATAGTTGTATTCAGACAGGGCTTACAAGCACCATAGAAAAAAACGGCTTGGCATGGACAGTTGTAACATCGAGTGTTTGGAGGTTCTCTCCAGATCTATAAAATCATGATACCAGTTCCCAACCCCTCTTTATGTGCTGGAATTTCCTCTGACTCTACCTGAAAATACATGCAGTCAAACAGGAAAGATGGATAAAAGCCTCTGCACTTGCATTTCCTTGTATAACCTTAGGCTGACTCACATCCACCAACCACAGAACTCACAGCATGCAAAGAACTGGTGGTATCCCTTCAGTGCAGCAACAGTGTTTTCCCTAAGGTTCCTTTCCGAAAAATAAGAGTGCTTGAATTAAATCACCAAGCTGAACTGCGACAGTAACACAAAGGTTTTGCAACAGTCAAAATGCTGTTGTTTACAAATTCCTGTCTCTTTTTGTGAGGCTCACCTGTGAGTCAGTTGCTAGAAGAATATAATTAGCTCCTAATTAACACACCTACCATATTCAGTTTTACATAATCTCACATTTATAGTTTTCCCAGCTTAGCCTGCTCTGATCCTCTCTGTAATGAAGGATAACTTTTTCTAACTCCTGTCAAGGGAAGTGTCTGTGAGGTGAGATGCTGGATGCTGATGCTTTCCTGCAGCCTGTGTCTTAGACACAGCCTGTTGCACTGTTCTGGAAACCAGGGTGACTCTTGCTGGGGCAATATTTATCCAGGTACACAGACAAACAAAACCACCTTTTCTTATATGTTTTTAAATAAACTTCAAATTAAGGCAAGAGCAGCCCAAAGATGTAAAGAACTCCAAGGACACAGGAGGGGGTTAACTGAACATTTGTGAAGCAAATGGTTTTGTATTCAAAAAGCCCTTGAAAAGTCCCCTTATATGAAAATATACCTTCCCCCCAGATGATACAAGGAAGAAAGAGTCTTTTTCTCTCTTCACTACCAACCATTTCATTAAATAGCAGTTGGCCATGTATTTAATTTTCTGTTAAAGTTATGTTACCTTTGGAACTGTGGAGAGCTCCTAAACAGGTTGTTTTGAAGGTCACATATTTTGATTGATGACCAGAACATGCTGGACGAGTCCGTATGCTAAGTGTCAAAGCAGGCTTTCAAACAAATTTAG